CCGACACATTATTGTTCGCATTGCTTGTAGAATACATAAACCGATCCTTTATTCCATTACTTTATTAGTTGCGCCGTTTAAGGGATGTTTGCGTAACTGAAAAGTAAAATGTTTAACATTTCTCTTTAAAATTGCTACAGTGAAATCCATTGTAAATGTCTACGGAGATTAGAAGCGTCAAGTTTTTAATTGATAAATCAGTTATTTAAAAGACCCGTTGGACCGACTACACTAATATTAGTCTCAAACGATTCTGTTTCATTTGTGACAACCCTTTTCAAGGTCGTCTACAGTCGTCTACTGATAAAGTAGGTCTTAATGTTGTTTTCTATTATAGTATTATTACTGTCTCTTGTTCCACTGCTATTAAATTATCACTGATTATTGCCATTTTCTTCAAGATCCGAACAAGGTACCTCTCGACGGTGGAAAAAATCTTTATATTTTGTTCAAAACTTGTCGCTTAAGTTGCTCTTTCACGTTCGGAGATGCGCAAATTGAGGAGTCGTATTAGCACCCTAAGAGAATTTCTAGTGTTGGCGCGGCAGCTTAATGAGCAAAGTTTAAAAAAGATTTTCATGTTTACGAAGGTACCTATTAAACGTAGGCACTTTCATAATTTTGTGTTTCAATTCCAAATGGTAAGTGGGATGACTAGGAATGACTAACATAAATTTCGGTTACCTGAACATAAGACTCAGAGAAACTCAGAATTGAATCAAATAATAAACATAGACGTGCATCCCGTCAATAGTTTAATGGATTAATAGTTTAATCAAATAGATAATTGGTAAAAATGTAAGGACTATTATTGTTTGATTTAAATTTAGGTAGTTATTATGGATAGACACCCACCCGAATAAATACTGAAAGGCTTCTCAATTTTAAGTTGTACTCACCTAAACATCGTGGCATGTCTATCATTTTACAAAGAACTTGTAGTTAAAATTGAGTAACGTTTTAGTATTCGGGCATAAGTAATTATGATATTGCTGTTAAAGATTGACAGACAGCCTAAAATGATTTTACTAACGACTACAATAGATTGTTTTTTTTAAATACATAGTATCAATGTTTCATCGATATTGCAATGGCATTCTAATTGAGTAAAAGAAACTAATATTCTGTAGAACACTAAAAATCACAGACGTATCACTAAATCACTAGTACTATTACTTACAAAACCGTACAATTTTCTTTGTCTTTTAACTAACCAAGCGGCTGGTTTCCTTTAAAAAGCAAGACGGACAATTAGCTTTTTACCTCTAGAAAAAACAGTTCGGCTAGCAGCAATCAGCGCTTGGCCAGTGAGGCGAGGCCAGGGGATGCTCGGGGCCCCGGGCCCGGGATCCCAGATCCCGGTTCATTAGGTCTTGCAAGCTAAAGAGTTACGTCGGCCACTCCCGCTGCGTCAGCAGGCGTCCCTCGTTACCCTAATGACAGCGATTTTGTTCCACTGAAGGCGCACTTTTAGTTCCACGAAACCGTTTAGTGTTGCCCGTCGCTAATGGCCTAATGCTTGCTTGTTCCACGGTTATTTCGTTACTTAATCACCTTTATCTAACGTTGGTAAATACAGAGCTTACTTCGATACGAGTAGAAAGCGTTGTAACTTGTCTTGTGTTCCAGATTTATCGAGTGGATGTTCCCATCTCTATTAAGGTGAATTAGTACTTAATGCTATTAATGCCCGGCTGTTGATATTCACAATTGGTTCGGCAACAAGGCGATTCAATACTGAGACTAATTTGACTATTCTGTAATTTGAGTGATTATTATTTTATTGTTACAACCAGAAAAAAATGTTGCTTCATTTTCATTGATCTAATGTTATTAATGTGTGGCCTACTATGGGTTTCTGAGGCTTTTTTTTTTAAACAATGCCCTACATTAGTTTTTTCTCCTGTGTCGTAGGTGCGTTTACAAACATAACAAAGTTCATATACACATGACACCCAGAGCCGGAACAACAATCAGTGGATTCACACAAAGAGTTGGTCCGTGCGGGAATCGAAACCGCGACACGTTGCGCGGCACCCACTTGCCCAGCTACTGCGCCAATCGTGCAGTCAATATCACATAAACATATTCTAAAAAACTTATGAGATATCAGTTAAGTTTAATGCAATGGGATTAATATCAAACGGTAACAACTAATTATACAAAACAAGGGTGCCTGTGCTTACCCCTTCGAGGCATAATGGGCGTTATAATAAGTAATGTTTACGTTACGTTATGACGAATGAACCATTTGTCAAATTCAACTTAGTAATGGACTTAAGTTATGTTGTATTTTGACAGCTGTCACTTGTTATTGACAGCTGGCCCGTCCCCTGTGTGCCGCGCCTGCCATACACCGGCCAGTGATTCAGAGAATAAATTATTTGATGCATTTTGAAATCGGAAAATCAGTGTGACGTCATAAACAGATATCAAGCAAGTATCAAAACTTGATGTCGATTCAATTTTTCTCTCAGCATTTTTCTACACAGAATAAGGTCAAAACTGTAATTAAATCAATAAAAAAATTACTTTAGTATTTTTTAATATCCAGATTATACATACATACGTGTATATATTGTTATTTTCTGTTTATGAATATTGAAACTAGTTTAACATTTGTTATTAGAATTTTCAAGTGTTGTACCTACTCATTCATAAAGCTATATTTTTGTATGATAACATATCTTGTTTTTATTTTATTTTAAGTGTGGGAGAGCCACAAATGCGCCGGCTCGACCGGAGTGATACCACGGCCTTACAGAAAACCGACGTGAAGCAACGCTTGCGTTGTGTTTCTTTTTGTGAGTGAGGTTACCGGAGGCCCAATTACCCTCCCCTTCCCCAACCCCAATCTCCCCAATCCCTGAATCCCCAACGATCCTCAAACTACTAATCCCCAAAAAGCCGGTAACGCACTTGTAACGCCTCTGGTGTTCCAGGTGTCCATGGGCGACGCCGATTGCTTACCATCGGGTGATTCGTCTGACAATTTAACGGCTTTATGCCATAAAAAATGTTTTTGTGCATGAAAAGTGTACCATGCTTTCTGTGAAATTAACATTTTCAGGTTATTAAAATCCATCCACCTTCAACTTTAAAAGCACCACTGTCCTAATGGTGTGTCCATATAGTTGTTATAAGTACCTAACTAAGCTGACACTATAATTTCCCAAAATAAATACTTATCTATGCAATAATTACATTAACCCTATGAATACGAATACATATGTATGTACAGTTGTATATATTATACGCATATGTTATTAGGTACAGAGGTTTTTCCTTTTTATTCGGTTTACCGCGAAAACCCGCCATTTCCTGACTATGATTTATCTTGCGGCCTCTAAGCTGAGGGTCACTTTAATAAATGTATTCGGGAAAGGTGCTCCCAGAATGGATGGCGAATATTCTGGATGCAATAATCTAATATACAGAAAATATAGACGTTACTAGTTCCTATACTGCGGAAATATATAATGTTATTAACGGGACCCGCAATGAATGAGTGATATCAATGCTGTCATGTCTATTACTGAGTTATTGAGACATATTCCGATAAATGAAACATAAATAAAACAGAGAATTTAAAATAAAAATATTTGACTACGCATAATTCTAGGTAATGAGGCAATCTATTACTTAATGGGAATTTTACCAAGCCAAGGTACCAATTAATTACACAATTAGCTAAAATTTGAATCATTATTGACAAACACCTCCCACTACTTCGTGGAAACGTAAAAATCTAATAGAGGTCATGTTATTTCTGAAGTGATGGATACTAAAGAAATGGTTTATTTTGATAACAAAGTACTGATATTTATAGACTAGTTATTTTACCATAATAAAGATACTGAATACAAAAAAATATTCGGTACTAAATAAATTGTTTATTTTAAGAAAGTACCAATATATACAATGTTAGCCTATTAGAGGTACATTATAGAAACGATACTATAAATAATCGAAAGTCAGGAACGTTAGTATTATACTAAGCTTCGTTGTAATTTGTATGACTACGTAAAGTATGGCAGCGCGGCCACTTCTGTTTGATGGCTCGAGCCTTCGCAAAAAGTCATAACTTTGGCATTAGGTGTCCAACACAACATGTTAGAGGTGCTTGAGATACGATGTTTTCCCTCCTCAAGTTATTCAGGGAGGGACAAGAAAAGTTCAAATAACCCAAATTAAGGAGTGCAATAAAGAGACCCTTCGAAAAGCCTTGCGGGAGCAATTCATGGAAATGCTAGTCAAAGGTTCCGTAAAGATGTTCGAAACAGTAGGTATAAAGGGTTGAGTAACGTAAGCTTCAAACTATTCCTTTTACTTTTCACTTGAATTACCAACGCACCAATTACAAACATTAACTTCCTACCTAAGATACAAGATGTACTCGACAGATATTAATATTTTTACATATTATTATCTGTTCTTTTAAAGAATTCACCATCCGATTCCATAGTAGGGGCCACCAGATTCCATTTGTCAATATTCTCAACTTAACTCCTTCATTGCGACTGCGAACAGTTTAACAACCTACATTTTAATGAAGTAGTTTTTTCAGAGTTAAGTATTTTCTTGATCACCTACATTTTACTTCCCCTTGTGTGGCGAAAAACATATACCAAGAAATATAAAATTAGGTACGTTAAACATTGCGTAGGTACCTAAATATACGAGAACTTTATTATTAGTTTTGAATAATAAACTATCATAATATAGCGCAACAATAACTTATCGTTTAAATCATAGTCTGTGTCCTCCATGAAAACCCAACAGGGAGCAATCTCAGGCGTAGCGAAAAATATAACGCACACTTACAAATACTCGCGTCCTTAAAATAACGTATTAAGGAGCGCCGAGTATGACATAAATAGTGGTGGTGTGGAAGTCAGTTGACTATATAAAAATGAGGTTGTGAGGGATGTAAAAGCGGCGGCAGGGCGCCGGCGCCGCGGCTCTCGGCTCGCATCACACAGTTCGCAGACAGACGCGGTGGCGCCGGCAGTGTGCGCCCAGCCCGCCGCGACACCTCACGCGACTCGAGCGCGACACGAGCGCAACACAACCGACGACCGACGTACCAGTGTCACGTGGTGCACGGTGATCCTCTCGCCTCGCCACCAGTGCTCACCAGTGCTCACCAGTGCTCACCAGTATCCAGCAGTGCTCCACTAACTAACACAATGAGTGACACAAATGTGACTGAAACAGCGCCTACTTGAGTTTAGTGCCTGTGATAACTTACAAGATGTTTTGTTCCTTCCAAATAAACTCTTTAAGTGATTATGTGATTCAGAGAAATATGTGTCCCAAATGTGAACTGCAATACCATCTAACTTTCAATCCGGCTTAGATTCAAAGAGGTTTAGACGATATTGTCAGAAATGGCTGAATTTTTTAAACGGTGTTTATTTTTAACGGTTATATTTTGGTGGCAAGTAACTCATTTGGCATCAATTTGTATAGACAGTTGTGCTTGTATATCCAACACAACGTTGTGTCAACAATGTTCGTACAACATAACATTGACGGATCACTCAGACATGCACCACCAGCTAACAGTGTGCTGTAACAAAGAGGTGGACTTACCTCCAGAGTACACAAATAAAACCGTAGCCCTTGTTACCGCCCATTTCGGCACAACGTGCAATGCGAGTATTGTTTACATCGACTTGCCTTTATTAGACACGAACTCTCTACAAATAAGAAATAACAGTTTTATTCAAATAAGGATCAACATCAAAAGACAGAACTTGAGAGAAATTGATTTATCTTCCAATAACTTGCAATACGTTACCAAGGGAGTCTTTAATAACTTCCTGAATCTCAGGAAACTTATTTTAAGTAAGAATAAGATTATTAATATATTTGAAGAAAGTTTCTTTGGGTTGTCGAAATTAGAAAGTTTAGACTTATCTGAGAACAATTTGACTATGTTAACAAATGTGTTTACACCTTTGAAGAATCTCCAACATCTGAACTTAAGCAGAAATAATCTTGAGTTTATCCATGAAAATTATTTCAACAATTGGTTGTTACAACACCTAGACGTGTCACACAACAACCTGAGGAAGTTAGCGCCGGGTGCGCTGCAGTTGTTACCGAATCTAGCGCGGTTGTTACTCACTGATAATCCACATCTGGGCATCACACAATTGGATACGCAATTATTGGTCGGCACTGGACGGAGGCTGCAACAGATAGATGCGTCTCGGACGGGATTACACCAAGTACCCGAAGCATTCACACACTCCGTGCGCTTCCTATCGTTAGTAGGTAATAGAATTTCTGCCGTTAGGTGTGGGGACTTTGACAGTTATCCCTTACTACAGTCACTGGACTTTTCAGATAACAAAGTTGTCTCTGTAGAAGATGATTCGTTGGGTAGACTGGAGATGCTATTATTCTTAAATATTAACAAGAATCTCCTGACGACTGTCCCGAGATCATTACCAGATGAATTGAAATATCTTTCTATCAATAATAATCAAATTAAGAATCTGACAATCCCTGATTTGAAAAACTTACCAAACTTAAGGATATTATTGTTACAAAATAACGATATTCATTATATTCAAGATCACGTATTTGACGACTTGTTGTCGTTAGAAATGTTGGATCTGTCAAATAATCCGATACAAACATTGTCGTGGAGTACGTTTGACGGACCGCTGTCTCTGCGAGATTTAAGACTGTGTTACTTAAACTTATCGGTGCCAGAACGAGATGGCTCGTTTCCAATGTCGTCGCCAGAAAGCGTTCAGATGTTACATCTCCAGTCCAGCCCCGGACTGGCCAGACAGCTACTGGCTGACTCGGCGGCACTCGCCGCATTTTCTCATTTACAATATCTAGACTTGAGAATGAATAATTTGTCAGAAATCAGAAATGATTTGTTATTTTACTTGGCACAACTGAAAACTTTAAGATTACACGGCAACAATATAAATTGTAGCGCTGAGTTATGGCTTAAAGATTGGATGAACTGGAACAAGAGTTTGTCCAGTAGCGAAACTTGTTATTACTCTACTTCTGAAGCCAAACTGGAGATAACTAAATATAACTGTACATTCCCGGAAACGTTCACTATAAGTGACAGCCTCCCGCCCGTCAACTTGTATAGTACGGAAATGATAAACAAGTTATTAAGGTACTACGGATACTTGAATAATAAAACTGAAAAACCATATAAACATACAAATACGAAGAACAAATATGATTACACTAATATGAAATCTTCACAATCAAAGAATACGACGATGAACAATCTAGATAAAAGAGACAATTTGTCTGAATTAGTCAAGGAAAATTTTAAAGGGAGTGAAAGAAGTGAAAATAAAATCCCTATGAATGATTATATGAATGAATCAACAATTGTGAAGGCACGAGAGTCATCAAAAATATTAGATCAAAATAAGCTTCAGAATGACCAGCTAAATATTGATCACAGATTTTTAGACATAGAACCGTTTTCCTCTGTATCGACTCGTAATTATAAAAAAGATATGAAAGACGATGACAGCCATGTTTATATTAAGAATAGATCCGGGAAACGTTTGAACACTCCTCTCAACGTTACAAAGAAAACAGAAAATATTGTCAGTGAATCTAAACCTAGCGCCGGTTTTAGTAAGAATTTGGGCGGACCAGAAAACGTGACTGTACACGAAATGGAGGCTTCTCACCCAAAGTATAAGATTGAATATTCACCGTATCAGTCAGCTGATAAGAGCTACGCTCAGTATATAGGTACAGTAGCAGTCTGTGGACTGATAGTGATGTCTTTGATATTATGGGTGAGTTTTCGCCTCAGATACAGAAGAAGAAACGTGTCCGTCGTGAATGCAGAGGCCGAGGACCAAATAGAGGTGTCGAATATCTCGGGAGGGGTGTTATGGTGACACCTGCGGGCAGCCGACCCCACGCCCTTCGAATACGATTCTCTCCTTACGTAGAACTAATGCAATGTAAGTATAATTAATAGTAGTTTGTACACAACTAACTCCGAACTATACCTCACCTCATTATAAAGTAAACATACTAATAGAGAGATCAATAGAATGTTATCAAAGGCTGTGACTAACTTCAATGTAAACCTCATTTGCTTCCAGCCAAGCGTATGATATTTCGGCTAAAATATAATTCAGCCAGTGAGCGGTGTGCTGTGTGTAGATTGTTATAACATTTAGTATGACAGTGTTGTAGATACAATGCTCTTTTGTTCCAGTTCGAAGCGGTCGGCTGCACGAGGTATGGATGGCGTTTTGTGATATAATTGGACGTACATATTTTTTTATGAAATAAGTACAAATAGATTGGTTAACATTGCAGCGGGGCTATGAATTGTTTGGACAATGTAAATAAACGGTTTTGTTGACTTATGGTGATCGTAGGTTAATAGCCCTATTTTTATGTAAAGTCGTCGTAGAATTGTGATTTTAATTTAGATACCTAACCTAGCTGACTTCATCTACTACGCCGTACTTAAGGGCTTTTTGTGGTTAGGCTACAACATACTGTACATATGGTATAACGCAATACGCAATGTTAAATCACCATATCGGTAATAAGATACGTGGTGTTCTATGAATGGTTATAACTTTGAGGCCGAAAATGTATTGCGCAAAATATCGTGAAAGCAGATCATGTCTTCCCTGTAAACCTTGTAATTATAACGTTGTAAACAATTTATTGCGAGCGAGCTCCACTAAAGTGCCAAAGTATATTATTTCATACTAAAACTTAGACTTGTATCTTGACAATCATTACGATTAGCACACAAGTATACTGTAATGTTTTCTGTTGTTTTGCTCTTACTGTGATTACGTATGTAATGTTCGGTGCCATTTTTAATAAGAACACAGATAATATCCGACCCAGGAACAAATAAGATCTGTGGCTCGTACAAATATTTGTTCTTATGCGAGAATTGAACCTGAAATGAATATAAAGGTCAAAAAGCCTGCAATAGTCTTTATGAAAAATAATGAGTATTTGTTAGTAATCAGTACCTGTATTGTATTTCTTTTACCTCATATTAAACCTTCTGTAAACAAAGCAACACATATGTATTGATGTGTGTGTGTTCTTAAAAATATTTTGATTTGAAAGTTATAGAATAAAAGCTTTATTTATTTATAGTTAGTTTTGAAAGCAGGCCAGTTAACAAACATCTTACTGTTTTATTTATTTAAAAAGCGACACCACCACCACCTTATGCACAAACGTACATAATGGGACCTTAATACTGTAAATGACAATTACAAGAACAAACCAAATGAAACAAACCAATCTTGCTGACTAAAGAAAAGCAATAACTTTCAAGTTGCTTCGTTGGTAGAGAACCATTTTTTTTTTAATACAAAATGAATTCAAAATTCCTATTTTTTAAAGTATATTTTCGCGAAAATTCACTAACATTCATTTTGATGCTGAACCTTTTCGCCTAAGAACAAAATGTTTGTGTAAAGCTTTTATGTACAAAACATTGTGCATTATTTGTTTACTTGGACGATACAAATATAATTCACAATATATACATGAATTCACAAGTTAATGATCATTACTTATTTTAATTTAAGTGGTACTTTTTACTTATAAGATAAATTATGTTGAAAAGCCGATAAGTTATTGAACAAGTCTCGAAATGTATTTTAAACTGTATGTAAAGAATGGCAAACTAAAATAATCAAGGATTGATTTGTTACTTTGTAGTTGACACTGTTTCATTTACCACTTATTATTATGTCATTCATCATTCTGAAACCTAAGGTTGTAACTTGATATATAAACATTTTGATGAAAATGATGTGTAGATATATGTTTTTACGTGAATCGTAGATTATGATGTACAAACAGATAGCCAAAGATTTAATAAATAATAGATTGAGTACGATATTTTTATTTATTTATAAGACACACTGAAGACCCTGAGTTCGTTGACATTTTATTTATGAAAGACCTTTAGAAAAACGGCCAACATTTGAATAACAAAATCGTGATTACAATGTTCGATTTGCTTACACACCTGAAGAGTCAAATATGAATAAAAGTCTCTCGAATATATATTTGTTCGAAATAAGAATAAGTCGACTAAAATGTAGCAAGTGAACCGAAAGTAATTTTCTTTAAGACCCATCTGAAGAAAAATTGTGATTATTTGAAAAGAAAAAGGAGAACGTTAGTAATGATTTTCACACCGAGACTTCAAAAAGAAGGTACGGAATTTTAATGATTTTTTTGTGAATGTTTACTGATTACTTTCGAAGTACCTACCTGCTACCTGATAGATTTGCATAGCTTTCAGAGATAAGTTTAATGAGGATACGGATGTTTCATTTTTATTTTTACCAACTTGCCTAAATACTCATTAATACTTCAACGACTCGAGTTTTAACTTTTTGATTTAGACTTAAAGTTTTGTTTCAAAGGGAATGTTTTGATACAATTTTCACGGAATTTGCAGACAATGATTGCGTAATGGATTCATGGAAAACAATGTACACGTGCCTGTTTTTCTTAGAGGCAGACACTCATGTTTTGTTTTGTGTTACGAAACATAATTGTTGGTTCGACATTTCAATAAAATGGTTTACCAACACAACCTAAAGTCTAAGATAATTATAAAAAATCTAAAAATCTATAATCAATTTACTTTAACTAGAATGAGGAAGTAAGTCCCATATTCATAAACGCTTACAATCACTAGAGCAAACCAGTCAACGTAGATATTCAGTAAAACAAACATAAAAAAAGCATATATACGGTCGAATTGAGAACCTCCTCCTTTTTTGAAGTCGGTTAAAAAGTGGGATAAAAACCAGAAGCCAATTAAAAAATCCATCAACATCAATATTGGCGAAGAAAGCATAATACGTACAGCCCTGCGGGGATCGAAATAGGGTGCGTTTGTTTATAGAAGTATTCCATTCAATATTGTCCTTGTATTTTGATTATTGACAGAGGATGTCGAGGGTTGCAAATTCTGCGGTGCCACCACTATTTGCCTACGGGGGAAACAGGGGCATTTATCCAAATAATGACCTTATTAATTTATGTACTCATCTCACGGAGCATTAGGGCACGGTTATGTGCATTTGACATTTCTGTAAATAGATACCATCCTGTAGGTGGATAGCCACTTCGGAGGCAGCGGAATGTTACTTTTACGACTGACATTAACTTGGAAATTAGATAAATGAGGAGTGACAATAAAGATTTCTTCTAACATAAATTGTCCTATTTTAGTCAGGCTGCTTTTGTGTAGTATGTGGTTAAATAATGGGATATTGGAATCATTTAGCAACTAAAAACTAGCATTGATAATTTTTCTAAACATATAAGATTTCAGTTTCAGAAGACTGTCTCGTCGGCCGAGTGGTCGCAAGTGCGACTGCCGGGCAAGGGGTCTCGGGTTCGATTTCTGGGTAGGGCAAAATATTACTGGGTTTTTTTAAATCCTCAGTAGTAGCACTGAGTCTGGAATTGCGCCCGGTATATGGTAATAGGTTCACCCCCTATTACATGGGACTCATAACATAAATAGTGAAAAATGGGTGTTACATGGTACAGTGGTATAATGTGCACCTCTGCCTACCGCTTCGGGGATAAAAGGCGTGATGTTATGTTATGTTATGTTACAGTGTAAAATGTTGGGTTTATGAAGGTATATTTCGGTTTTGATACTTCATTTAAATCACACTAATATTATAAACGTGATAGTTTCTTTGTTTGGTTGTTTGAATGTTTGTCCGTCAATGAACTACCCGCTGAAACTACTGAACGGATTTTACCTGTACTTGTAATTATACAGGGTATGGGCTGACTTAGCTAGGTGATAAAATACTTTTTATTCCCATTAAATGCTCTCATGGGATCAAACAGGAATACACGGGCAAAGCCGCGGGTAAAAGCTAGTCCTTAATATAAGGTACTTAATTAGCTTAGTTGAATCCTAGAACTGTGTTCGAAGTCCGACCGCATTGTTACATATCGAATAAAATATCGATTTAGGAATTTCGTGGTTATGTGTGTTAAGTCCCAAAAGAGAGACAACAGGTTTCATGATACATTAGAACTTTTAAATCGATTCCAAGGTAAGTTTTATTAAATTCAACTGATGGCTCCCTGATGGTACATATATTAGCACTCATATTTCACTCCACTCCTACATACTCTGTGGCCCGGCAGTGAACAGGTACGCAGGTTGGCGGAACAATCAACCAGGGAATTTAACAAACATGAATTATACAACGGTAAGTGATTATTACAATGGTGTTTATTAACTTGTTATATAAAGTAATTATTTATTTATTTCAATTAAATAGTCTAACATTGTAGTCATAAAACCAAGGAGTTATATATTTCAAATAATTATAAAAAGTAAAAAAAAAAACAAAACAAAACAGAGAAGTATAATTAAATTGAGGTCTTATTATATATATAAGACTTCAATTTAATACCAATAAATTTTGTGGTAGATTGTAAACTTGCTAATAAATCAACTTTTAGTGGTAAACTTTGGATACTGTTATTAATTTTCGAATTCGAAGTTGTTAACCAATAACGGTCGCTCAGTGGCTTTTGAGATGATTTTTACGGAACCATTGTTTTGGAAATTAATTGCTGATTCGACCTTATATCGGATAATGCGTATTTTTACATCGATTTGTATTTTAATTTTAATTAGTACCCTTACAACAGAATTAGTACCTTTAAACAGCAGGTAAGTTTATGGCAACCAAACATCTCATTTAGTGCTATTTGGTTTATTCCAAAATCTGATAACTCGACCATCAAGACTAAATTATTTTAGAAGACAATTAAAATACAGGGTGATTTTAAATTGGCAACATTGTATCAGGTTCTCAACATAATTCAACTAAGAAAATATAAATTATTATAATTAGCCTCATCCTGTGGTAGGTAATTCAAAAGTTTGTAATAATAAATAGAATCAAGCAGCTACTGGCATTTAAACGTCTTAAATATCTTAAACATTTTATATAAATAGAGATTCTTTGGTATTTTATAAAAATGTCCAAATATTTTTCTGTCACAACGATGAAAGAGATCAAGGGTACGTAGCATTATGACACGGAATCCGATGATAGCCATTTCATTAGGAACAGGAAACCCAATCGTCTGACAAGCACCTTTGAGCAATCCACTCGTTGCTACTCCTGAGTCAGCACTTTCTTCAATCAATGGAATAGATAGTTGGTTAGTTGGCTCACATTGAGTCTATCTAGGTAGACTTCTTCAATTTTCCTTTAAAGGGATTTTGAATTTATTTTAAAAAAGTTTATGAAGTAATAAGTGTAAAGTCTCTAATCGAAATTCTCTAATTAAGTATTAAGAATTGATGAACTAAGCTTATTAAGTCTCATATATTACCTCTACATAAGACTAGATGAAAACTGTCCTTTCATCGATTATGTACGACAGGTTCAACACATTTTGGGGCAAATAGGTAAAATGTTATGTGAATAAGAGCTCTCATTTCAATACAAAATGAAGGTAAATTCATTCATTATTAAACCAGTGTGAACAATAACTTTTGATAAATGTGTTTAATTCAATATTATTTTATGAGAGAGATGAAATTTTGTAGAAATAGATATTGAATTAAGTCCACAGTAATTACTTTGACAGCAGGTGCTGTAGACAGACATAATTACGGTTATAGAAAGCAATTTAGTTGAATGGAAAGATGATATCACAAAAGCGCAAGACGTTCCTACGTAGCTTACGTAAGAAAGTGGTCCGTGGAGTAACATAACACTAACTTATTTACTCCGGAGAACTATTAGGGAAATCGTTGTCGTTAACTTGTTTTTCTGGAGACTTATTCGTAGTAAATTAAAAGTTGTTCTTCTACTAACTAAGATAAGGTGGGCGTGACATCGTATAAAGCACAGCTATTTCCAAGTTGAGCGGACACAATATCGTTTGAGGGTATGATAATTATACAGCTATAAGTAGTGAGTTCAGTTTGTTAGTAGCTAGGGATGGTTTTCAGCAGGGATGTTAGAGAGCTCCGTGACCGTAACCGAAACTATCGGATATCCGATATTAAAAAATATCCGTAGTTGTAACCGATTCCGCAATAAAAGTTTTGGATACTATCGGATAGGGGGCGTGACGTATAAATGAAACAATTATATTAGCTATTTGTAATTACTTTTGAAATTTAATATCCGTCACGGAATTATCCGAAACTAACGGATAATCTGAAATAATTACATACCCGTATCCGTAACCGTATCCAGTATAATAATCATTTCTATATCCGTATCCGAAATTTCATATTCATAACATCCCTGGTTTTCAGTACAAAATTTTAGGACATAAAAAGGTACAGGTAAGGTAATAGGTATATTTTATACATAGGTAGAACATTTACACAAGATCTGCAGCATGCATATATAGTGACAAGTGATTCATGAATAATATATTTATTTATCGTAGTTATCAACATACATTTAAAGCCAATGTGACAGGAATTTACCATTCAATATAATAGCAAATTGGATCACCCAAGAAACAGCGAGGAATGTTTCTCCACCGAATTGATGAGAAACAAACTGCAAATGAGATCGTCACTATATATAAGCTCGCGTTAAGATAACCTTTTATTGCATTTCTATTTCGTGCGCTGTTTCCTCATTCATTAAGTGCGCGTTGACTTGCTAAGCACCGACATAAGGAAGGCGTAAAGCGAATGATCTCGAAATAGGCGGAACACGAAAATGTTAATAAGGTTATTCGAGATTGTATAGTGAAATGTAAATAGCCCTTCAGCTATTACGAGTCGTGGTACACAAGACAAACAGTTTTGGAGCGGCGCCGGCGTCTGTCCCGCTTAAATATTGATACCGTGGCTCAGTTTCTCAGCGCCCTGTTCCTGGTTCCAGCCCTCCTCCAAAGATTTCCCACTTAATTATTTAATTTTATTAATTCCAAGATTCATGCCTACTACTGTTTGTTTGGTATAATTGGCCCTCTAAACTTAGCAATCACGTTAACTTTACCAAAAGGTTAATTGATTTGATTTATGCTTAAGTGTCTTTATGAGAAACCTTTTATATTAAATTTC